GCTCCTTGGTTCCTCTCTGGCCCCCCGGCGCCTCGGCCCCCGGCACGCCGGCCGCTGGTGATGAGGGACCGCCGGAAGAGGTCAGGCAGGAGGAGGAGGAGGAGGTCTGGGGGAAGGAGGACAGCCCCAGAACGTTCTGGCCGTGGATAAGAAACAGCACCAAACTTTCTTCCATGGTTAAAAAATCAATTAAAGGTTTACCACTACCATCCCTGAACGGAGAAATTAAACTAAAACTCCTCGGGACGGACGCCCCCACAATACTTGTTACTCTTCGTGAATAGGTTCTCAATCGTGCAAAAGAAAAAGGCGTAGAGGTTTTCTTGAACCCGCTTCCTCTATTATTTGCATTTTTTCTCTTCGTTCACTGGTCCTTTCTGAAGTTAGAGCCCGTTTCTCCGAGCTGCCTTTAATGCATCCCTGTTAACGGGAATGTGCACGTGCCTACCGTTTTTGTTGTGTTGTTGGTAACGGGGGGAGGAAATATCCGATTTCTATATTTCATACATATTCAAGAAAAAAGTGATGAAGAGTTGGTCGAACTAAACTAAAACAAATACATTAAAAAATAAATCTGCCTACGTAAGATGAAGTCTTCTGTTTGAATTACATTAGCTAAATTACGTCAATAACAAGATATGAATTTCATTTGATTGACAACCACGTTAGCTATTGCTGTTAGCTTCACATACTCTGGATTTCATTATATCTAACTCACTTTTAAACTGATGGCTGCCTTCCTGAGGATTCGAAGAGGATATAACAAGTATTAAAGCTGCTACGATATTTTAAACTCACCACAACCGTTTATTTAAAGGTAGTTTGCCATTCGCGTACATTTCAAGAAAGTGTAATCAGTCGATAAAAAGAAATATCTTTCATTTCCATTAATTATGTATAAAATTTGGATCAAGATGTTATTATGACTGAGCATAAAAGGAAAAATAATAATAATGTTTGCTTAAATCATTAGATCTACAGCAGATCTGAATAGTATGTATGAGATTATTTATCAGAGAAATTGTGGAATAGAACTTGTTGCTGTTGATTTTCTCTTGAAAACCATGATAGTATTCTTTGACCGTGTTTAAATTTCATCAAAAACACTGTCACCAAGATACACACTACTGCTAACAGGAATATTGTTGAGACTCCAAGAGCCCAGCCTATCAGGACACCCACCAAAGTGAAAGGCAGGATCACTCTCAGAACCTTAGCTTTTCTGATCTCGTTCTCTGCAGCTTTTCTTGCGTTCTCCTCTTCATCTCGCCAAAGCTTTTTCGTCTTCATCGTCAGATCCTCCTCCTTGCAGCCTTGCTTTAGGTTTTCCTCCATGCTGCTGATGATGCCACTCCTCTCTGCCAGGATGTTCTCCTGTATCTCCCGGATCTCCCTCTCTTCTTCGGGATACAGCTTTGAGTGGTAGTGACCTCCCCCGTTCAGAGACACCAGGGTCTGGATCTTCTCTATCAAGCTCGTCACCTGAGTGCCGTCCTCTGGATTTTTGTTGTTGAAGACATGGAAGCCGCCACTGCACTTGCGTATGAAATTACGGAGGTTGTCGTCACTCTCACTGATGACGTCGTTGATGGTTTTTCCTTCCAGGCGATCGCCGTGGGTGAAGAGCACTATGGTGTAGTCCCACACTCGGGGGCCAAACTTGGACTCAATCAGTGTGTTGGTGTCTTGGTCTTCCTGAGTCATCCTTCCTAAAGGAATCACAAACACAAAGGCATGAGGACCCGGCTCCTGGAGCTTCACGCGCTTAAGGATTTCTCTGACAATTTCCTCCTTGTTACGGTCTTTTTCAAAAAGTCCAGGTGTGTCGATGACAGTGACAGGCGTGTCCTCGACCATCCCGTCCTCCTTATCACAGTGGACGGTGACTCTTTTCAGCTTTAAGTCAGATTTAAACACTGTACTATTCAGGATTGTGTTCCCACTGGAGCTTTTGCCTGCCCCACTCTTCCCAATAAGCATAATCCTCAGAGGCTCTGTGAAGAAAGAAATGACAAATAAATGTGGCGTTATATCCTAATATGTCATGGCAGTGTGAAACTATTGCTACAAATAGCTTGGTTCAAAGACTAAGGGAAAAAATGAAAGAGGAAACTACAAGTAAAGACGCAAGTAAATATACAAAACAAGCAGTGTGTTGTTGCGTTCCTATCCATGAACCAGAACAAACCATGAGAACATATCTGCTCCTTCCCTGTTAGGGAAATGACATCACAGGACATCTCGGATTTCATAAAAAAGAATAAAGCATCTTGCACTCTAAGGGATTCCATATGATTGGCAGGCCCTGCTGATGACATCAGACTGAATTTAATCAGTAATCTTGGAGCTCTATCTGTCTACAGGCCTTTGCTGGTTAAATGTGAAAGTTCATGACGGTACAGTTTGAAAAGCTGTACAAGTATGGCCGCTGTTGGAAGGTCCAAGGTTTTTTCTCCTACAGATAACACGCCAGTAAGGCTTTGTTTTTTGTTTTTTTGTTTCCAAAAATTCCATTTGAAAAAATAAATAAAAATGGAAGTGAATCATGAGCTTTGGACTTGTATAAATCTCTCTGATTTGTACTAGATTAAAAAAGCATTATGGACTGAGAGCCATATTATTAATCTGAAGATGTTTTAAATTAGTTTAAAGATAATTTGGGTTATAACTTAATATTTAGAGCTTAAGGCGTACTTTCCTGTTCTAATGATCAAGCAATGTGGGCCAAAGGTTTTTTTCCCGAGAAATCATCACTGTCTAATAAAGTAATGCAGAAAACACAAGCTGTTCAACAACTGCCTGTTTCCAGCCTCCGTCTTGTTTCGTTCGACCTTTGACCTATCCAGAGCATAAAATGTTTGTTCTGCATTAAACAATGTCCAGAATGGGCGCATTTGACAATACATTAGGAAATAGGGTACCTTTGTCATTGTACAATAAAGGAACAAAAAACCTCCCATGCAGAAATGGTGTGTTAAGACAAGGCAAGCTGAGAGGTAACTTTTATACTTACTTTTGCCCTTCTCCTCCTGTCCTGCATCAGGCTTGATATCTTGGTTCGTGTCTGATCCAGACATGACTAAATCTCACAAATGTGAAGCGTGGATCTATGAAGTGGGTGTTTTCAGGATGTTTCCTGGGATACGTGGTCTCCCTGCTGCCTGCTCCTTCCGTGTCCCTGGTCTTTTTCAGGCCACTCCTCTCAGATCGGCTCCCAAC